CCGAAAGAGTGATGCCTTAACCGAATTTAAGCCGAGAGATATGCTTACAAGTTAAGGCCGTAAGATCATGCTTAACGAAGTTTAACGCCTGCAGATTGATGCTTAACCGGAAGTTAAGTCCGAAGATAATGCTTAACCGAAGTTGAGCCGAAGATGATAATTAACGAAGGTTAAGCCCGAATGATGCCTTAACCCGAAGTTAAGCCTAGAGATGTGTTCTAAACCGAGAAGTGTGAAGCGTAGAATGATGCTTAGTTGAAGCTTAAAGCCGAGATTTTCTATCTTCACTTGTTGGAAATTTGTAGGCAATTTACAGTTGGAGTTAGCTGATCTTAGCCTCTTATTTTTTGCACTTGTTGAAATTTGGTGCATTTTATTGGATAATTCATTTCCCGTATCTGATACGTATCCCGCCGTATCGGGCGCGTATCTGTATCCGATACGTATCCGATACGCGTACGGGAGCTATTTCGGAGTATCCGTGCTTCATAGGTGAGGGCTGTAAATGGGTTCTCCTATCTCTGTGAATTGGACCGTCAATGTATAGCCAAAATTACATTATTCACTTTATGAGAGAATAAAAATAAATTATGTGGGTCTAACTATTGTCATGTGGCATGGTTATGGATTATATAATTGTCAAATTCTTATTAAACATTATATTATAATGTTTTATGTTATGCAAAACTCATCAGGAGATGAAATCTTACCGATATAAAAGTCTTAAACCACCAAAGATTGTTTGGAATAGGACTTCTGAAACATTCAAACTACTTGTTAGGCAAGTCATTGAATATTATAAATAAATGGCATCTTCATAGGTTGAGATACGCAATTTCTCTCTATCAATTTGTCTATTAAATATTTTGATAATATTAGGATACTAACTTAGGCGTCGGAGGGCCCCTAACTACAGTTGGGAATGTTTTATCTTGCAGATGGTGATCACGTGATGATGTCAATTATCTTCTATATTAAATTTTTTTACCATCAAATACGATATTTTTTTATGTTCGGATAATTGGCGTCGTCTATAAAAAATGACTGAACCAACTACTAAAAGATCACACCACCCGTTAAACCTAGAGGATAAGAGTTTCAGCTCTCAAACTCCTTATAAGCCATTAATTTGTCTGTGACAACTCTCTGAAAAGTTACCAGAACATGGCTTTTGTGCAATAATGGCTAGGTCATGCTTATGTCATATCTAAGCTTAGCATTATTTTTAAAGATTTGTTACGAAAACTACTATTCAGAAGACACCATGAACTTTTAGATTGGAATATTACTTTATCTTGGAAACTGCTTAAGGATAAACTATAAAGCTAAGAGCTCTCCCTGAAAATCTCTTGGTCTCGCTCTGTATTAGCTCGTTATTATTTCGTTATTATTATTTGCGGAGTATAAATTTTATAAATTATTATTCTAACCATGAAGATATTGTTATCAATTATTATATCAGATTTTTATTGTCTGCGGAGGACAGAGTTTATGGACTATTATTCCGACCACGAAGATTTAGAATATCAGTTATTATATTAGATTTTTATTATTTGAAAAACCTGAATTTTTATACCGAACGTGGATGGAGACTATTATTTTGGTCAAATATACTACCGAACATGGATGGAGACCATTATTTTGGTCACATATGTTGAGATAGAGTCTGCGTTTTATGGATCATGGGGCAAGGTGAATTATGCTACCCCTCACTGTTGGAAATTAGGCTTTTAGCGGCGTTTAAAAAACGCCGCTATAGGTACCAAAAACGTCGCAAATTCTTTTTGTGACGTTTAATACCAAACGCCGATGACGCGGCCGTCGCTATAACTTTATGGCGTTTGGAAAACGTCGCTGTATTAGTATAGGCGGCGTTTTATGCCTTGCCCTAACAATACTGTGACGTCAGTATGATTTTAGCGACGTTTTTAAAACGCCTTCATAGGTTTTTTTAATTTTAACAATTCCAACCGTTATAGTGGCATTTGAAAAACGCCGTCTTATCTTTCTTTCTTTTTTTGGTTTTGAAATTGTGCTAATTTTATGTGATTGAACTAAAAGAACACCAATAATAAAACTAAATAACACTAATATGAAATAATAACTCCCATTCAAATAACAAATATAGTATTAATTCACTTTCCCATTCAATTTAATATAGCATTAATTTTTCCACAAAATAATATATTCAAAAATTGAATTCACAATTCTCAATCAAAAAATTACTACCTTATATACAAAGCCACAAAAGTTAAATCCAAAACCGACATTTTTCCTTGCAGATAATCAAGCGCTGCAATGAACTGTTTAGATACTGCCCAACCTACTTCACCCTTTTCTTGCCATTGCTTCTTGTTCTTCATATAATCTCGGCCAATTCATCACTATGTTTCAATCCCATCTCAAGAAAGAAGACATCTTCACACCATTCCTTCAAAACGGACTCAAAATAGTGACCGGCATTAATGGATTTTGTAACTTTGATTAAAGCATCATCATCAGTCAGGGCTGTCAGGCCCTCGGCTTCTTGGCATCTGAGAAATAAACAATCCAAAAATTTGCGTACAAGAGGTACACCAGACAATCGGATAAAAACCTTGACCTTAAATAAATGGTTGGCACTGATCGAGAACGATCAACCACAGATGATAAGCGCCGAAGAAAAGCACTGGAAATTGCAGGAGATTTATAATCTTCTGGACCAGAGACAACTCCTCCCTGAATTTTGGTTGACCAGTTTCTCTCATTCTCCATCTCAGGTTTTAGCTGATCAAACATGTCAGTAATCTCTATCTCTGCCCACAAATCAAGCCAATCAGGTCGATCACAAAATACAGATAGAGAAGAAATTTTCTTTCCATCTTCTTGGAAGGAAGGCAAGATTCCCAGTCTGTGCTACCAGAGATTGTACTCTTTTATCAAAGCTAATCATCAAGTCAACAAGATGAAGCCAGGATATTCTAACCTGGGAGCGAACACTGGTGACACTCTCTTCTTCAAGCTGACCAACATATATAGGAAATATCTCCTTTGCTAAGTATGTTGATAGGGAGGACACCATTACTGAAATCCATTCTTCTCTGCAACTGTAACCTGATAGCATTGCTTCATCAACTAGGGGTTGCAATAACTCATCCATGGAGTCTACATAATCCCGAGTAATCTTATATACAAGAGCAAACATGAATTCTGGCTTATCAACCCACTTTGAGAAATGGCGTTGGGATGCAATTGCTAAAGGGTTCACCAGCTCCTCAATAGACCAAAGTGGCTGGTGCAGGGCAACTTCCCTATTATGCCCCGCTAGTTGCCGAGATTTTCTTTGTCTCTGCAATTCCTGCAGGCTGCATAATGCGACAAAATTTTCACAGTACTGATGCTTGAGGTCCCCTTGCATTGTAAAAAGAGGATTTTGCACTTCAGCTGGTTTCCTTGCATCTGAATCTGAGGAATTCAACATGGACAAAGGTGGTGGCCATCCAAGTGAAGTAAGAAGGGCCCTGTAATCTGCAATTGCCTGGGGCCTTAAAATGGCTAATGCTCGATCTACTCTGTGATCAACAGCTGAAAGTAGACGTGCCCACTGAGGACGTGTTTTTGTAACTGAAGCTAGAACATCTTCAGTTAGTTTGAGTGATTTAATAGCAAGCAAATGCACATCCTGCAGAGACTACGAAATTAGAAAGGAAAAAAAGAGACCATTGTTTATTCCAATCAGTCTAAAGGGCACTCACTTCTGAATTCTGTGTGGAAGAATGCTTCCTTAGGTTTCTGTTTATTGTGGAAGATACTGCATCTTCAATATCACCAACCAAAGTATCAAGCTTTAATGCTGTCTCTGAAAGATCCAAGAAGCGTATTGAAAGAAGAAAAAATCCGATTAGAATTAAAACAAATAAAATTAGGCATAGGAATAAGGTTACCACAAGGTATATGATAGAAAGCTTGATATATAAATTGTTGGGCCCATTTCCTAATAGCTTAAGCTTTTGGAAAATTGGTGACTTAATCAGAGCTCAGGCTGAAAAAGGTCTTCAGTTCCAGTCTCTCCATTGGCACTTGGTATTCGGTTCCCATTTGGTTTCTTTTTCTATGTATGGCTTTTGGCTTCTCCTTCTGTTTGGTTCTCTGTTTGTCTCTCCACATACAAGATAGGGTTGTGTAAGATAATTTGATATACATTGTTAGGCCCATTTCCTAACAGCTTAAGCTTTTGAAAAAATTGGTGACTTACCAAAATCGTGAAGGGAAAACAAAGATATTAGAAGTGAAGTGGTTACACATGCAAGAAAATGGGATGAATAATTTCCGAGAAAAGTCCATGCTATGAACGCCAGATACTTTCTCCACAGTAAAGAAAAATTCATTTCTGGTTTAGGGCTAAGGACCAAGTCTTTTGACAACATAAGTTTGCTGAATTCTAAAAAGCAAAAATACAGATATGGAACATGGATACAATATGATACGAACACAGTAACACTGTAACTAAAGAACAAGTCACTGAACATGGCAGTAACACAACCATAAATAAATACATATGGAACTATACGAAATTAGTTATCTTTTTACATAATATATACATTTTTATTTATTATATCAAAACAATGGCAAATGATTAATTTTTAACGGTGATATGTAAAATAATAAGCAGAAATAGGAAGTCCTAAAGTGTTACTTTTAAAAGTCTAAGGTATTTTTACACAATTAGAAATTGTAACAGTTTCAAATACTGCAAAACCTAAAGGAATGATTAATATGCATAAATCCCTACTTTTGTTTATTTTAATTTTGATCTCCATTTTATTTACTTCAACTTGTGCCACATCCCATGTGACGTGTTTGCCAAGAATATATTAAAGATATCACTGACACCCCTCAAGACTATTAAAATCACCTGCAACAGGATTAATCAATGGTGATTCAGCAAAATACTGACACCTCTCAAGACTATTAAAGAAAGAAAACATATCACTTACCAAGACGTATGTCTTGGTCTTTTGCCAAGAATATATTTGAACACCGCAAGAACAAGACTGTCAGTAACATGCAATTTCAGAAATTTCAGAAGGATAATTCATAAATCCTCTAGTATACAGATAGATGCAACTTACCTTAACATCTCGATGAAGAATATGATTCACATGTAAGTAGTCAAGAGCCATAAGCAATTGAACAAGCTATTTACACAGCTTCTATAAACAATTTAACATCAATGTATCAGTGAACAAAGAAATTGTGAGCTGATACAAATTGAAAACTGCAGAGGTGGGAGGTAGAATGCAGTACAATCTAGATTGCGACAACAGAAAAGAAAACGAAACAATATAAATGTGATGCTAAGATACTAGAAATATAAAACAACCTCATCGGAAAAAAGAACACCATTTGCTTTCTTTATAGCTTCTGCCCTGTAAAAGACAAAGTAGCAAAAAAGATGACATCATAGATTGCATGTAAAGTTTCAGCCCAAGTAAATGGATTAAGCCAAGTATTGCAGTTTTAGCCAGAAAAGTCACTCACATGCCTCAGAAGCTCCTGGTGCCTGCAAGCAGCAGTTAAATCATCAAACAGTACAACTTAGATGGCATTGACATCGACTATGAACACTTCAACAACACCGATCCAAACACCTTTGCAGAGTGCATTGGACAGCTTATAACCAAAATGAAAGAAAATGGACTCATCTCTTTTGCTTCTATAGCTCCATTTGATGATGATCAAGTTCAGAGTCATTACTTGGCCTTGTGGAAGAGCTATGGCAATCTCATAGACTATGTCAATTTCCAATTTTATGCTTATGATCAGAGTACCAATGTTTCTCAGTTTATGGCCTATTTTCAGACTCAGAGCTCTAATTACAATGGAGGGAAGGTCTTGGTGAGCTTCATCAGTGATGGAAGCGGTGGGTTGTCACCGGAAAATGGTTTTTTTTCCGCTTGCAGTAGGCTCAAGAATCAGCAAGAACTTCATGGGATTTTTGTTTGGTGTGCTGATGAGTCCAAGGCAAAAGGATTAGGATTTAGCTATGAGAAGCAATCACAGGCATTGTTAGCCAATTAGTATGTATTTACTACCATTGAAATGGGTTGTGTGGCCTAGTCAGCTCCAAATATGTGAAAAATGGTCTGGCGTTGTATGGTTTCGATGCAAGTGATGATGTTCTGTAATTTCTCTTATCACTGCAGGAAATTCAGCTTTTAGCGGCGTTTAAAAAACGCCGCTATAAGTGTCAAAAACGCCGCTAAATCTTTTTGCGACGCTTAGCATTAAGCGTCGAGGACGCGGCCGTCGCTATAACTTCATGACGTTTTAAAAACGTCGTTATATTAAAGCTCATGACCTATTGTAAACATGTGTATATGGAAACAAAAGTTTCTGGCATTTAAGAAATATAAGCCACCTACAAATCTCGCATGCCTAAACTACAACAAACTAAAATTGAAGTGCATGAAGCTTCGCACATTCAATTACATCCAAACATAGGAAAGTTTTGACCAAATCTAACTCTAGGACTTCATCAAAACCAATCCCCAAAAGCTCATATAATGCAGGTCACCGTTTGGTCTTTGACACAAGAAGTTCAACTTTTAAATCAATCAATTAGGCCAGCAATGAAGTTCAACTTTGGGCCTACACTGGTCTGACCAGAATTGTCGCCCAATACTTCAATAATTGCAGTAAAAGAATGATGAAACGTATTCCAATACCTGTAGAAACAAAGGAAGCCGGACTACGGGTTTGTTCCCTTGATTCTGATGTGTTGTTATCAAGAATATAAGGAAGTTCTAGAAACTGCAAGAAAGCTTCTGTTTGAGGGTTCCTACTATATCCTGCAAGATAGCAAAAATGAATTATAACATATATTTTCCTAAGCATTTGATTCTTACACTGAAAGTAGTATGATACCAGTTAAAACATAATGACTCTGAATATCCACAGCATTGTTTCTCAAGCTACCATGGTAGTAAGATTTCGGTAAGATATTATGCAAGGTGAAAAAAAACAAATATCAAACAATACAAGATATTTTGAATTCATTTAGATACAACATCTGCAGACACCACCAATTTCGTAGAAATAATTTCAAAAGCAAAATTTAAATGTAAATCTATAAGCACTCTGATTTGTGGAATTATAGACTGAGCAGTTAACCATAAAAACCATCACTTAATAGAGCATAGCAAGATGAGATGGCATGTTAGATTTTCTTAATCGGTGCAGTAAGTGCATGACCATGGTTCGATCCCAAGTTGCTGACAAGCTTGCAGAGACTTTAAACCACCTTTAACAAGATTTTCTTTATAAGTAACTTAGGAAGCTATTTATGTCAAGTAAAATAGAGCAAATATTCCTAATATATTCAGGCAAGAAATGAGCAACTAAAATGAGTGGGAGCCATGAGAGTGAAAGTTCAAAGTCAGTATCAACAGCCAAAAATCAGGATGAACTCTGCCAAAAACCTTCATAATTTTTTCCGTCACTGCCGACCAACGATTGGATCATTCGTGAGCCTGAAAACAAAATAAGGATGATTATTCAATCAATACATAGAGACACATATATAAATTCATATATATACTTGTATAGAGAGATTTTTAGGAGAAAAAAATTATTCAAAAAAAAGTACAGATAATGTGTACGTAGAGAATGAGATTGTGCGAGAGAGACAGAGATCCAGAGAGATCGAGAGAGAGAGGGAGACAGAGACAGAGACAGAGATCGAGAGAGAGAAGAATCGACGAAACTGAGATTGGATTGAAATCGAAATTGAAATCATGCATATCGTTAGTAGGCGATGCAGATGCAGATGCAGATGGTGATGGCGGTGGCGGTGGAGCTTTGAAATCAAAATCATTCTGAGATTGGATCGATCGAATGATGAATCACCGAGCTGAAGAAGGTTGAATCAAGTTGAAGGAACTGAAGGGCTTAGAGAGAGAGAGAATGAGAGATTTGAGGGATCGGTTGCTTTGAGACTCTAGGGTTTCTCAGATTCAAATCAGATTCAAATAAGTTGTGAGAGATTTGAGGGCTTGAAGACAGAGAGAGAGAAACAGTGTAACACATTCAAAGGCGCTTTTTAAACGACTTCATCACTTAAACGGTATCGTTTTAATAAAAACAAAATGTGACGTTTATAAAATGTCGTTAAATATTAAAAATAGTGGCGTTTAAAAAAACGCCGTTAAATCATATATTTCCTGTAGTGCCTTGGTTAAAATTTTTATCTCCTTGCTGAGTTGATTTGGGTCAAGAAGTAAGTTGAAGGGTTTGTCCAACTTTGAAAATCTTTGTCGAGCAGCATTTTGCTCAACAAAACAGGTTGGAAGGTTTGTCCAATTTTGAAAATCTTTGTCGAGCGGTATTTTGCTCGGTGAAGTAGGTTGAGAGGTTTATCCAACTTTGAGGTTTGTCCAACTTTAAAAATCTTTGCAGACCGACATTTTGCTCGGCGAAGTAGGTTGGAGGGATTTTCTAACTATGGGATTCCTTACCGAGTGGATTTTACTAGCTAAAAAAGAAGTTAGTGGTTTGTCAAACTCTAAGATTCCTTACCGAACGAATTTTGCTCACTAAGAAGCAAGTTGGTATTTTGATAAGTCCTAACGAGGCTAGACATTTTCGGAATAAGTCCTGACAAGGCTAGGCATTTTCGAAATAAGTCCTAACGAGATTAGGCATTTTCAAGATAAGTCCTAACAAGATTAGGCATTTTTTGAATAAGTCCTAACAAGGTTAGGCATTCTTGGAATAAGTCCTAGCAAGGAATAAGTCTTAGTAAAGCTAGGCATTTTCGGAATAAGTCCTAACAAGGTTAGGCACTTTTGAAATAAGTCCTAGCAAGGCTAGGCATTTTCAAAATAAGTCCTAACAAGTCTAGCCATATAACGATTCTGGTTTAGACTCGTCCCGTTTATTGTTTTGGATCTGGATTCCCTGCTTTACCTGGTTGTTTATATCCTTACTCATCTTACTCCTTGTTGAATTGGGTTATTTGAATATTGTGGCTGCATTTGAAACAGGTTATAGGTTAGTTTTTCAAAGAAGTCTTTGCCCAAGTTTTGGTCAGTTCGCTCGAGCGGTGCTTCTTGCACTCGAGCGATATTACGAACTCTCAGTACTTTTGCAGGCCTACAAAGTACTGGGAGGGTGTTTTTCTCGCTCAAGCAGTGTTTCTTACACTTGAGCGGTCATTGGGAACTCCAAGTACTTTTGCAGGCCTGCAAAAGTACTAGGAGATTATTTTTCTCGCTCGAGCAGTCCTTCTTACACTTGAGCGGTTAGCCTTTGTCTGCAAAACTTCCGAGAGTATGTCATTGTGCGCTCGAGCGGTACTTTGTTTGCTCGAGCAGTCTCACTTATTGTGTTTGGTCACTTGAACGGTGTTTTGGTCGTTCGAACGATTTGTGCATATATTAGTTTGTAACAGCCACTTTTTAGTTACTTTTTCATCTCTCTCTCTCTCTAAACTTTTTTAAAACCCTAAATCTAGACCCTTTCTCTCTCTAAAACTCATTTTCAACCTCTAAATACTCTCAATATAGTGATCTATAAACCCTAGTCCTTTTATTAAAAAGGTAGAGCTCACCTAGAGCTTCCATTTGATCGGAGCAAAGTCCATTTTCGACTCCATTGAAGTTTCAACCTTGCTCTTGCTTGTCTTCTAACTTGAGGTAGGGATTTCTCCACACTTTTTATAGTTTTTAAATTGGTTATTTGTCTTTCTAAACAAATCATGGAATTTGGGAATTTTTGAACAAATCTAGAGTTTTGGTTTAAAAATTAAAGGAGGGGTTTTCAAATGGTTTTTTTGGTAAATGATTATGGGGGTGTATTTGTGGTTGAGTTGTGATAAAATAGTGGATTTCATCCTTGGATTTGGTTTTTAAAGGAAATGGGATTTTTGCCCTAAATTGCGAATATTTGATTTGGTAAAAAGGGGAAATGGAAATGATGTGAGATTATGAAATTGGAATAATGAGGATGATGATGGTGGAGTTAGATATGTATTATCGCTTCCATCTTGAAATTTTAGAAAGCTTATCTTTATTGAAAATTATATATCTATTTAGAGATATCTGTTTTGGGCTATCGGTGGGGGATAGCTATGATTGTTGTAGAAATTGCATGAGAATTAGGAGAATT